CGCCCCGCGGCCCGCCCCGGGCACCGCCATGGCAACGCCGCGCCGCAGAGCTCGGCCCGCCGGCCCCGCGCCCGTGTGCCGGGCGGAGGCTGCTCGGAGGCCCCTGCAGCGCGGAGCGTTGTGCCGGGCTAGTCACGGGAGAGCCGGGCACAGGGACAGCCGGCTCTGAGGGGACGCGCTCCGTTACATGCCAGTAACGCTTGTACTAAGGGAAATGAAAAAACAAACAACGAGCACTCACATCCTCGCCCCCAGAAAACCAACCAAACGAACACCCCAGAATATGCCACTCACCCCCCAACAAAAAAAAAAAAAAAAAAAAAAAAAAAAACCAACCAAAAACACAAACCAAAGGTGCTGTATATGGACTACAAATCTTTGATTCTTCTAGCCTCAGGTGGAATAACTCTGATGACTGGGAATTAACGAATTTGGAAAGTCTCCTTGAAGCACAGGCCCTGCTGCTTCAGGAGAAACTGTCCCAAGAGCCACTCGGACTGGGGAGAAGGCAGCTCGTAACTCCAACCCATCTTCCTAGACGACATCTCATCAACAGGCACTGTACAAACACAGCAGATCCAAAATCCCACAGGTTTAGACCCCAACAGTGCTCTTATGCTGGAACAAAAAATAAATGGGAGATTGACAACAACAGGCCTCATTAATAAAGGCAATGTCTTACTCAAGTTTTATCTAAGACAGCAACTTAAATGTCGGCTTCATGTCTTACATGACTGAGAAACAAAGAAAAAAGCTTTCACTGCACCTCTGAAGAGGAGCAGGTTGTAACTGGCTTGCTCAGCAGCACCAAGGGAGGTACCTCACTCAGAGCAGTTTTACAGCAGGCTCATCAGTACAGCACCAGAGCACTTTCCATAAAGAGACCAAAAAAGTATTTGTCATATGATAACTCACTCCCTACAGGGGAAAAAAATAAAAATATTGATACATGTATGTGAACATGAGTGAGGAAGCACAGTCACTTGTGCATTTCTATAAGAACTCTATTATTCATATTCCTGTATCATAGGAAAAAAGGTCAGGACTAAATCAAATCACCCACAGTCTTACTCTAGTCTTACTCTCATTCATATTTTTATTATCCATACTATTTCTGCCACACATATTAAGATATCTATGCTCAAGATTATCACTAATGCAGAAATTTACATCAATCTCAAATTTTATTGTCTTCCATAGTCATTACGAGTCAAATTACCACTGTGCACATTTACTAAATAAGGTCAAAATGTTAAGTTCCTCACTCTCCACCATGCATGTATTTCAATACACATCTTGAGCAATGTTTGCGCTGACCACAAACAGCTGACAAATTTGAAATGCTTTGCCCTGTCAGCTGAAGGGCTGACTGAGATGGGTTGAACAAGATGCATCTTGCTCCCATTGCCAGTGTCTCTCCTCTTTAGCCCTCACTTCCCCTCAGTAATTATAAAAAGAGCAATATAAGTATAGCATTACAATCAACTGAGGCACTCAAACTGCTGCACTGCCCTCCTTCCAGCTGTTATAAAAAGTGTTTTCAGCCCCTTCCAGTGCAATGCAGCAGTTTTCCACAGGAAAGCAGAGGCAGCAGCTCTCCTACCAGACATTTCTGACTCAAGTCAGCACTGCTCTCAAGGCTCTAAGTAAAACAGCTGGAAACAATGCCTGCCACCTTCTCCCTGATACAATGCCGTAAAATCTGCACACAATAATATATATCTGCATGATAAATACTTTATTACAAAGACAGAAATCAGCCATAAATGGTATTCAGGACAGAGACTGATGCAGAAAATTCAGAAGTCTGCTAAAACTGCTACTGAAAGAAGTGTAGTTGAAATGGCCCCAGTTTGAAAAGAACATTTAACAAAAAGGAACTGCTTCAAGTCCAGGGTTTCAGATTGTCAGAGTAATACAGAATGCTAACAAAAACCAAAATACAACAACTTTGTATCAAAATGATATAAAATATATCTAATTGTGTTTATAATACTATACTTTCCAATAGTATATCAATCTTTTACCAATTTTGTAAGTGTTCCAAGTGAAGCAGAAAAATGTCTAGGTAACAAACTGAAGAGAAATAAGATTCCTTCTGATGACCTCAAAGGCATCAAAGATTATTTTTTATATTTTTTTTTAATCAAGAATTTTGCATTGTTCCTTGAATTAGGTGTCGAATCTTCTCAGCATCTTTTTCTATAATTTTATTTTTAGGATCAATCTTGAGAGCTGCTTCATAATCCTGGAGGCCTAATATAGAAACATTAATAAGAATATAAATCAATAATGCAAAAGCATTCTCTTTAGCTACCTGGAAATAACTACTCCCCAGTCATATGCATAAAGTATTGACCTTGGGGTTTGTCCTTAAGTAAGATGGCATCAGAATGACATTAGTTTAGCTTCCATCAGTAAATAAACTTATATTTTTTTTATCTTATTTTACAAAACATTGTAGTGGAAACACTCTACCACATAAATATTTCCAGGTTTTGAAACATGAAAATAGAGCCTCTTCATTGGTACTGTTCTAAAGTGTTCTGCAGAAGAGAGGAAATGATCCTCTGTGAAAATATGAACAAAAAAGACATGAACTGTGAAAAACACAAGTACGGGTGGTAAAATCTTGCCTACATTAGTCTTTTTTATAAGGTTTCAAAGCTCAAATGAAGCTGTAAGGGAATAACCAAGTGAGGCCTAAGTAGAAAAAGGTAAACAATGGCCAAAGCTTAGTACTTCAATAATGACATTTTGAATATACTTCAGTTTATATTATCAGCTTTCACTTGTAAATTTGCTTTACAAAACTAATCTGATACTCTTGAGGAACTGAATAGGGACACTGTAAATTGTTATTTTCACACAAATCACATATACTTGATGACTCATTTATATGGGCTTCCTACCACATTTTACAAAGATGTTACTAAGCACTTACAAGTATTGTAGAAATATGTCAGGTTATTTTAATATCTTAATGGAGAAACTCCTTAAATTAAGAATGAAAGCCATTTCCTCAAACTTGCCAAGATTTTTCAAGTATCCAGTAAATTTAAAAAAAAAATTAAAGTATGTGGTATAAATGTTCATAACAAATAGACATAGATTGCACAGACCTCCTTCAAAGTCACTCCTGAAAACATAAAGGTGTGAGCAGGCTCACTGAGCTAAACTTGCATGTCACTATAAGTTCCTATGCATGTTTTCATAAAAGCAAGGCCTCACCTTCAGGGTATAATTCCAGCTGACAAAAGGCTGTTCCACGTCTCACATGGGCTTTCAGTCGAGCGTTCTCATTATCAGGAACAGGTGGTGTCAACAGCTCCAGTGCCTTTACAAACAACAACACCCAAAGTATTTACAAGTAGGTTTTCCATAATTTGGGGTTTTTTTTCTAATTTACAAACACTTCTCTCACTTAATTACTATTATTATACAGTGACATAATAACTATTCAAACAGAAATAGAAAATAGCTGTTCAAATTTAACTATTAATGGCTTGTGACTCTAGTCATTAAGATTTGTATCCATCACCCCAGTTTGCCACCTACAGTTACATTGCCATGGCTAAAAACTGACAAATACTATGTTAAATGTTTATTGAGGTCAAATAATGTGTCCTGTTTTCATACATCATATAACCTATCATGCTATCAAAAGAAAAAAGGTAGCACTAAAAACACACGTTTTAGTAGTAGTTAATGGAAAAAACAAGACAAAAATCACAAAGTTTCAAGACTCAAGTACTTATTAATTCAAAAAATAGTAATTCTTGGAAAACTTTTCCCATATTATTCAAGTGCCATTGGAGATCATTCCTCTTGTTGCACAAATAACAGCTGCTAAAACATCAGAACAATATAGCCCTTCTTTGAAAATGTTGGAAGTTTTTTAAAGTATCCTGCTCATCACCACCACTTTTTTTTCCTTCCAAATAAATGAAGCACACCACAGCATAATACAAAATGTATGAGTATATGTTGGTTTTGTTTTTATCTGCTCCAAGTCGTGGGTTTTTTCAAGTGTACATATTGCTACAATATTTTTATCTGTAAAGAAACATACTGGCCAATATATGGCCATGTGTCACAAATGTGTGGAAGCCTGGTTTAGGGTTTATTTTATTGTTGTTTTGTTTTAAATTTTTGAAAGTTCATTAATCACTATGAAATTTTAATATTTCACCATGGCTTCATTATATCAATTTTGAATTTTAAAATTTGAATTGCACTAATATGTATTAACAGATCTGCTTAAAACAGAACCATCACAGTAACAAATCACATTAATGCAAAAGATGACAGCCTGATCTCCTGGATTTTTATACCTTGGAGGAATCTTCGATAGCTTTGTGCAAATTTCTCAGTTTAAGGTGGCAAGCAGCACGGTTCAGGTAGAGCAGAGGAAGTTTATTGTTCAGCCTCACTGCAAGGTTATAGGCGTTTACAGCCCCAAGGTAGTCTCCCATTGCAAACATTTTGCTAAGTATTAAACAAAAAAGTGAAACATGCACTTTAAAGAAGGGGATAAATACAAAATAAAGACCTACTTATTGTTAACTCATTGTCAAAAATTCGAGGTTTTAGCATCTTCTCCTTTGAAATGCCCCTTTAGAGCCTTTTCTGAGAACAACGTAGCTGAAGTTCAGTGCACCTTGCTGCTGACAATATAGCTTAGAGATACACAACAAAAATAGTCACTGCTTACAAGCAAGGAAGGATTGTAAGAGTGGACACATTTAAGTAGACAAAGGACTAATTTTGAAAGCTTTGTATATCTGATTATGCTTGCCTAATCAAAGCTTTCTGTATAACACAGCTATATAAATAAACCAGTATCTGTATAAAGTCCCTAAAGTTTATTTTACACAGATATTTAATGTCTCACCAAAAAAGTACAAATGAAATTAAATCCACTTAGGTATATTAGTGCACTGCCTCAACTTTCTTCAAAGAAGAATACACATAATGTGTTTACAATGATTTTGTTCATCATGAGCTTCAACAATTGCATCTCATTCTATCAGATTCTAACCCCATAAGCTGTCAGTATGACTACAATGACTACTCTAGACATTCACCAACTCTGTCCAGAATAAATAGAATATACCAAAACTGAACAGTAGGCAAACACCATAAAACTAATTCATTTTTAATATATCTTCAAGTGGAATATAACTTACTTCCCTTTGTCCTTTAACCAATCTGGATTCTTCTCCTCTTCTTTTAAATCTTCCAGCTCAGATAAATCAGAATTTATTATTCTTCGAGCTTCTGCTTGTTTATGTAGCCACTATAAATACAAAATGTGCTAGCATTATTTCTGAAGCAAAAATTCAAATCCATAAAAGGATTTTATTTCCATCTCTTCACCCATACTTATCAAAAGAATTCTATTGATCACATATTTCAGACACATATTTGATAGTGTCCAATATGAAAAACTTCAAAGTTTCCCCAAATATTTTATTACCATGAGAAGTCAGGTTACCACATCTCTAATACATTTTTGTCTACTTATCTGTTTTGATCTTTCAAAATTACTTTGTGTTCATTGAAGTAAGCTAAAAAGAGCTGTGAGCTTCTTTTAAGACAGAAGTAAAAGAAACTTAAGAGTTAGGACACTTCAGATTTTGTACTTCAAGGAGTTAAATTAATATTGCTGCCTTTTGTCCCCCTCCCGAAAAAAGGAACATGTTATTTATTAATCTGCACAACATGGTGAAAAAAATTTTTGTACAAAATTGTTTCTCTTAATTTAAATTAGACTGACTTCCTTGAAGGATGAGGATATTGCACAGGTAACATTTCTTGGCATAGACACTGTTTGTGAATACACAATAATTAATTCCCTAGCTTACCTCCTCCTCTTCTGCAACACGAGATTCTCGCAGAGCTGTGGGAAAAACTCGTGGTGTAAAGTTGACTTTAATTGTAGCAGCAGCTCGGGGAGCTGGTAACTGTTCTTCCTTTAAATTCTGTGAAAATATACTACAGGAACCATGACCTATGAAAAGAGTTAGAGCACTAGAAATTAAAAACGAAACTATATTTTTCTGTTTTTCTACTGAAGTTCAAAGTACACCTGACTTAGAAATATGGCCCTAGTATTAAACCTCTAATTGCTTGAGAAAAGCTTAGACTTGGTCTTCTGAAGGGACAGTTCAAACAATTTTTCTTCCTAACAGCATCTGTTATAAATGAACTTAAACTCTTCTCACACCTGTTTGTTGTTGGTATGATGCTGACAGGGAAACAATAAGAGCTAAAACTACCCTATCAATTCAAACAAACAAAAGAATTAAATGTCTTCTGCTGGTTTAGCTCCCTGAATTGGCTCTCCATGGATCCAAGAACAGGACAGAGAGCACAGAAGGAGATTGAATATTTCCATGAAATCCAGCAGTTAGGTAACTTTGGATAACAGAAACCCCACTCCCAGAAAGTCTGCATTACACTGCCAGAAAGGCTTTCTGATTTACTTTTCTAAAGCTTAGAACAAAACCCACCCTTGTATTTCCAAAGACTTCAACAAGAGCTAAAAACTCACGTGCTTTAGCTCAACAAATTGCCTGAAAACAACAATTTTAAAATAAATGTGAGCTAAAATAACTTCAGTTCAGTATGGTGGAGACAAAGATAAGTGATTAATTAGAAACATCTGGGAATAATGTTATATCCACACTTTAAAGAATTACTAAGTACAGTTTAATTATACAACCTCTTGTGGATTTGAGTCTTGTCTTAGAACTTCCTTCATTAGGAATCTGACTTTTGTTCATTTTTTCATTTTTTCTCTCTTTTAATGGCTCTATTTCTTGATGCAATTCCTTTTTTGTTTGTATGCTCTTGTATTTATCACCATCTTTTTGTTGGTTTTTCCATAACTCCAACTCTTTAGCGACCCTCTGTCGCTCCTTCTCTTTTAGATCTTCAATTCTTTTTCTATCTGCTTCCTCTAGCTATTTGAACAAAAAAAAACTCCTATGAGATACATAACATCTGATAGTACTGACTTGACTAATTTAAAGTTACCATTATTTTCCCAGTTCCATATTCCAAGCATAATGTAACCAATAATGTGACCACACTAGCAGAGTTAATGAAGATGCCTGAAAATTACTATGAGAGTAAAGATATCTGATCAGCTTTTAGAGGTCTCATCTTTAAACTATTTCACTAACAACCCTAAGATACAATCCAGAAATATTCAGAAATAAGTTTTACTTGTAAACAGTGAAAATCCTAGCCATGCTCCAGTGTAGATCTCTGGAAAATACAGAAATGTAAAATATATATGATGATCTGAATGCACTGTTTCTTATTTCTCCTCTTTGAGATTATTACGTATTTACAAGAGGTACAACATTGCAACTAAGAAAGTCACTAACTGTAGTTATTTTTGGTCCATGTTGCATATGCAATCATAAAATTTCATTGCATGCTCCAAAAAAAAAAAAATCCTTTGAACACAAGTGAAGGGACCAGACTTTTTATATACATAAAAATTTTAAGAACATATCTTAAAACATACATAAAAAGCAGAGTAACAAAGACACAAACACATAGAAGACATAAAAAGCAAGTCTGATATAAAATACAACAAAGAATAAGTGAGAATTTTAAAATCAGTCTTTTTTCACAATGCCAAAGGACTAAACACCTGCAAAGGCCACAAAAAGACTACAGTTTTGCCAGAGGACTGTACTCTCCTTTGAACAGATAAAAATCTGAGCTTATCACCAAAAACTTTCATTATTACTCACAGAAAATGGCAACTTCTAAGCACTTTGTCAGCAACATTTTCATATTTGGTCATAAATAGGTTTAAATGCAAAGAAATAACAAGGTTCACCACCATTACATTACAATAAAAATTGGAACTTTTCATACTTTTTTAACATACATTTAACAAAGTATCTGCCAGGTTAGTTGGTAGCTGTTTACATGAAAGTCTTGCAGAGCTTCTTCTAAACCTACCTTCATTGTGGCCTCCAAAGCATATTTTTTGTGTTCCTGTTTTGTAATTTTTTTTGCTTGAGTCTCCTCTTTTGCCTTTTCTTGGGCTTTTACAACAGCATTCTCTCTCAGATATTGTAGTTTCTCCTTGTCAGCTTAAAAAAATAAACTCAGTCATTTAGGCCTGGTGTTCTATTGGTATATATCATTCGTTAATGAAAGCATTATTTCTTCTGCTACTTTGGCAAAATACAACATGATTACAATTTGACAAACCAGTGTCTACCAAGCCCATATCTAAAAGAGAAAAATTAAGATTTGTTTAAACGCAGAATGTAAATTTTACGAGAAATATTGTATTATTTCATACACATTAGCACTAGTAGATATTCTTCATTCTCACATACTTTCTATTTCTAATAATGAACAAGGCTGAACTGAGCAGATATCTACCAGCAGAAGTTTCACAGCATGGTTTCCTTACACACAATCTATTTTTCAGAGTAGAAAACTTACCATTTGCTAGAGTTAGGGAATCCCACAAGGCCGGTTCTTTTTTATACAAAGTGAAGAAAATGTTTCCATTTCCAATCTTTGCTGTGCTGTTTGTGTCATCAATAGGAGCATATAAAACGGCTTCAAATAAAAAGGGAGGGATGCTTACCTACAAAAATATAATTTGTGCTAATATTTACTATTTTTATTTGACTCTCACATACTCAAAACAGAGCACAAGCATACAGTAAACCTCAAGGAACAGATACTATTGACAGAACTAATTTGCTTTGTGTCCACTGTGGAGGTTTGTAGAAGCCCAGAGAAGCTTCCTTCCCCTTAAGGGTGGCTCGGCACAAGGTTATATATTTCATTAATGAGATTAAAAGGTCGGTTCTTCAGCACTGCAACAGAAGCCGTGGATTTCAAATTTACGATTAGTCACAGTATAAGAAAACGTATAAATTCAGCCCAGCAATGAGAGTAAAGGCAGCTGGCACCTGTTGAGCGGCAAGATCGTTAGTAGGGAACGAGCAGTGGTAAAGCCATTCCGTGCCGCAGGACGGGCGTTCAGAGGGGGATTATAAAAGATAAAGGGCTCTGCGCTTGCAGAGTTGCCATGGAGCGTGGCTCAGAGCAGGGCTCGGAGTCACCCGCGGCAGGAGGCCCGTGAGGCGAGCGGGGCGCGGCCCCACCTTCAGGTACTGCTCGCTGCAGAAGATGTTGGCGGGGGTGGCCCGGGCGCCGCGCAAGGGCAGCGAGAGGTACACGGCGGTGAGGGTCTGGCGCCAGCTGTGCTCCCGCAGCCACAGCGGCATCGCCGCGGCCGAGCAGCTCCGGGCGCTCCCGGCCCGGCCCGCGGCGCACGCCGGGAGCTGTAGTCCCCAGGGCCTGAGGGCACGGCTCCGGCTGCCGGCGCTCACAGCTCGGCACAGCAGGAAGGAACGCAGCTCGTGTCATCCATGAACATTTCTACAAAGAGACAAACTGCTGGTAGCGTAGAATTTCTGACAAAAACTATCAAACGTTAGTTTTAATCAAAAACTAATATCTAGTCCAGCCTCCCTGTTCAAGTAGGGTCATCCCAGAGCACATAGCACAGGGTTGTGTCCAGATGGTTCTGGAATTTCTCCAGTGACGAAGACTCCACAGCCTCTCTGGGCAGCCTGTACCCACAGAGAAGTTCTTCCTCAGCTCAGGCAGAACCTCCTGAGCATCAGTTTCTGCCTGTTGCCTCTTGTATTGCTCAGAACCACTGAGAAGAGCCTGGCTCCATCCTCTGGCACCTCCCTTCAGACATTGACACACATTGCTGAGGTCCCTTCTCTGAACCTCTCCTTGAGGCTAAACAGGCCCAACGCCCTCAGCCTGTCCTTGGAAGAGAGATTCTCCAGACCCCTGAAAGAACTTGGTAGCTCTGTGCTGGACCTGCTCCTGGATCTCCATGTCTCCAGTACTCAGGAGCCCAGAACTGCACACAACACTCCAAGAGTGGCCTCACTGCAGCTCAGCAGAGGGCAGGATCACCTTCCTTGGCCTACTCTGGCAATGCTGGCACTGAAACTTGCACATGTCCCCTAAAAATAACTGGGTCACACAGAGCCCCACGCTATTGCTGAGCAATATTGTCTGCTGCACTGTCTCTGCCAAAAACTCAGGAGGTAATTTGCACATTACCACTGAAAGTTTCTCAAACAAACTGTAACACTGTATCTGCCAAAATAAAGTCTAGTACATTGAAAGCAACTGCTTCTGGAGAATATGGCCTGAAAGATGAGCCAAACACAGCTGGTTAAAAATTCAAGTATGTTTAAGTTCCTCAAAAGTATACAATTACCTAGAACTATTAGGAAAAATCCAGAAACAAAAATTCTAGTTTTCCCTCTTTCTTTTAAAATGAGACCAAGAATAATGGATCTTAACATGGCTCATACTAGCCAGTATTTCTGATATGCATCACTGAAGATTTAATTTTTATGTTAAGATTTAGTTTTTATGTTCTATTACATATAATACACAGCAATATTCAAATAGTAGAGGTTACGTTTAAGTACTGTTTATATATAAAAGTAGGTATTGCAGAGATTTTTAACTTTTAGAGCAAGAAATCCACCATAACTCATATGATTTCTGGGTTATTCTCCACCCTCACTCTCCCACATCAATATCACCTAGAAGAATTCTTGCATCGACTAAAATCTGAGAATTGAATTAAATTCCTCTTTCCAAGAACATTCACAGTACATAGCAGCAGCAACAGCTAGAATGATTATAATGTATAACTCACAATCTCCTGCCACTCCAGCTGCAGTCATCCAGAAAGTCAGAGGTTTTGAGTGCAGGTCTTCTGCCTTGGTCACTCAGGTGTCATTTTCAGTTTAATCTCAGAGAATATACTGAAATGAAGCAGCTTATTATTTATTCCTGCTAGAAGAACTATATTATACACACATGCTTTACAAGACACAGTTATGGTTGTTTAGCCTCCTCAAATTACACAGAAGAGCTCCCATACATCCACCAAAATGTCCATTTACTTAAAACTTAGATCAATACAAGTATTGTAGGGGAGACAGCAAATACCACTAACATGTTTTTATGTCAAAGTAGCAGATTTAGCTGCTAAAGGACACAAAAGGGGTTCAGCAAGGTCTTGGATCAACCTTAAAGGTTTTAAAGAGATGTGTATGTGAACACCAACACCTCTGTCCCACCCACTCCACAGCCTTACCTGGACAAGCTGCTGTGCTCTCACTGTGACACACTTGAAAAATAAACAAGAGACACCCATGCAGCGTGGTTCTTCTGCTGGCACTAACTTCATCAGTCAAAAGGCTGCAGTGGAAAGTTTGCAGTGAAAGAAGATACATTTTTCCATTGAAAATCTGATTCTTAAATTCCCATCTCCTGTGCTATGAAGGATGAAGATTTGTATTCCACACAAACCTTAATAATGTTATTAATATTCTGCACCTTCCAGCTGCCAATACATACATATATCTTTTCTGGGGTTATTTCACTTCTAATGGCTTCAAAAGATCAATATATTAGAGAAAATAAATCCTTTAGATAGTTTACATTGACTTACCTTTAATTATTAACCCTTTTGTCTCTCGTTCTTTCTAAATTCTCTCTAATTTCTCTCATCCCTCCACATTTTTAACAAAAAGCAGAAACATTTTATGAGACTGTTTATTCCAACAAACTGGAATCTATATCACTTACTTTTAAAAGTTATTGGTAGAGCAGTGATTTGGTGTGTGTTAGTCCTGGCATTTTAACTAACAGGAAGAGCTTAGTAATAATTTTATAAACTGGAATAAAATAATTATTTCTATAATCACTTTCCAAGTGCAGAAAGTTATTTTTAAAAAATCTGTTTGGACAAATGATACTTGAGCCTTCCTTTCCATCCTGTGAGGAAAGAAAGGGAGCTGAAGGCACGAGACCTTTTCCCAGCTGCTTTGAAGGCACTGCAGATGAGCACCTTTACAGAACATGGAGCTCTCCAAGAGAGGCAGGAGCTGTATTTTCTGATCCATGTGACCTCATGCTGCTTCTTGCAGGATTACACCTAATCCAAATGTGTTCTCACAGGCAGAACATCAGAAGCATTACATGCAGGCATTACATCATCTTCAGAAAGTCCACAGGCAATTTCCCCACAAAAATTATCTTTATTTTAAAAGAAATTGAAACTAGACAACAGAAAGCAACAAAGTTACATACAGTGCTGGACAAAGCCTACCATATACATTTTCCAAGAACACTTGAATCAGATTCTGATATATGTTCTTCTAAAAGGTAAAAATATCACATCATTATTAACAAAAAAAAAATTAAATGTCAACAATCTTAATCAGCTTATATTTTGCATTGTTTGGATGGCAGTAGATTGGTAACTTGCCTTTTTCTACTCACTTTTAACTCTAAAAGGAGAAAGTGGACAAAAAATTCCCAAGTCAGAGGGCCCTAAAGGCCACCGTGCCTGTTTTAAAGGCTACAAACACAAGCTTGGAGGAAAGACCAAGTTTTGAACAAAAACCCCTAACAACTTTGTATTATTTAACATTTCAGAAAAAAAACTATCAAGAAAGAAAAACAAAAAGAAAAAATAATATATTAAAAGCTTGCCCTCCTTAAGTTATAAAGGAGCTCGGATTTAGACCATTCTGTAGAGGAAAAGATGAGTGTCTAGGAACAGACAACTCTCATAACTCCAATCCCAAAATGTGTCCAGTACAGCAATTCCTGAAATACAGTGCACAAATCTCCAAGGAAAAAGGTGGGGTTGGATCAAAAAATTATTTTGAGACAGTTTCTTTGAACATGAAAAGGAAAATTATGTATGGTAAACAATGCAGAAATAGTTATTCCCCATGGTGCTGGGATAAGCCATTTCTAAACCAGGAGACAAAGGGTGACACAGAAAACTTCAAGCTAGAGGCAGCACCTCTGAGGGCCTGAACACCACTCAGAACTAATTACCCCAGAACTGATGACACACAGCACTAGGCCACTAAAGGGACCTTTCTTTTCTTCTATATAAAACAGAAGTTATCACTTCCACATAAAGAAGTGAATGTGCATAACTCAAGATGCAGTGAAGGATAGTTATATTGCCTTAAAGAGTTCTGCTAAGTACACTTAGTTTCCAATTTTAGGGAAGAGTCTATTCTAATATAGAAAGCTTCTGCCAAAACTTAGCAACTGCAGAATAACTTTAAAATGCATCCAGTTCTACATCCTTCTGCATATATCTAATCACATCTAATAGACAAAAAAAAATTATATGCTTCCTAAACGAACAAAAAAATTTATATGTTTTGTAAAACAAGTAAAGAGTGTTAGAATAGAATTTTCACACACAAGAGCTGATTTCCAAATGTTCACCCATTTATCAGTGGATAATATTGAGAAACTCATATTAAGTAATGGCAACAAGATGATAATGCATATCAGTGCTGTGTGTTCTGAAAGGTACTCAGTTTTAATTATGAATTACTACCATCTATCATACCTCATTCTATGCAAGATACCTCACCAGCTACCAATCCATAAACAATAATGTTTCACATACTTCATAGAGTAGCTTAAAACACATCATGGTATGAAATAATTTGTATTACATAGTAATTTAATCCCTGGCCACAGGGTTAATGTTGGACAAAGTCTGGAAGCTTTTCCAATTTGAATTACATACATTAACTTTGTCACACGCCACAGCACTAATGCATGTATTACATCAGACATGCTCTAATTTAAAATCAAAACACAAAAGTTGTTGCAAAAATACATGTCACCAATGTGGAACACATTCAAGATTGTATAAAAAGTACTGAACTGATATCCCAAAACAGGTATATTTAAGCAGTACATAAGGAAAGATTAGTTTTAATATGAAACAGTCATTTAAGTCACATACAACATGATAAGAAGAATGACTTCCTTTTTTTAAAAATGTTACACCAATACTTTTACTGACAGGCAATGTTTATTTATAAAATGAGAGGGATATATTTAATGCAGATGTGTTACTGTATTAAGTTGGAATAAAGACAAATGTTAAAAAGGTGCTACATTTTAACACCACTGATTTTGTAAAAATCTCAAACCATATAAGCATTTCACTTTCAAATATCACAGGCCCCAAACTGCAAACATTTTAAAACATTCTTGACTGTGTGCATGCAGTTTCACTGACTTCGTTAATTGTCACATGCTTGAAATTAAGCCTGAAAAATGTGATTACAAAACTGGTTCTTAGATTAAAAACTTCAGAGGTCACAAAGTATAAGCTTCTTTGAGCAGCCCCCAAAATTATATTTTTCTTTTACGTAGAGCAAACTTCATTACTTATCTCTAGCTTCTTTCTTTTGAGATCTGAAGATCTCAAGTAACAACCAGGCCTCTAAACAACCTTTGGAAGTAAGCATCAGTCCCATCTTCTTTCAGAAGAGACAAGCACAAACCTGCTAGTTTCAAGTTGTAGAAGGAATGAGTAAAACAGGAAGAAACAGGATTTTTGCTACCTGCCCTCTAGTCTGTATCCAGCACTACCACTTACATGTTTTCTCTCTTAAAATTGGTCACTAGCAAAAAAGTATTAAGGACAGCACAATCCAATTTATACCTGTTTATTTAAGCCTTTTGGGGCGGGGGGAAATTTGGGAGCAATATAAGGCTGCATTTCTGATCATGACCAGAAACCATGTAAAAAGGACACAGGCATTTCCCACAAAAATGTTAAGGTTTGCAAGATTTACAAAATCTTTGCAATATTTTTGGTGTGCAGCACCAGTACAGTCTAAATCACCAGTAATGAAAGAAGCGCATGAGAGTTCAATACAAATTGTTTCATGTATTACAAAAAACCTCACCTATTCTAGCCAACCCTCCCGCCCTCCCTCCCACCCATCATTCTAGAACTAACTTCTAATGCTAATCAGCTGACATTTTCCTAGTACCTCACTAATTAAACATGATTGCTGTTTCTCCTGTGCATACTTGAACGACTACTTAGTCAACACATGCAGAGAAAACCAAAATATAACTGCTCTCTAGATAAAGAGTTCAAGTATGCCAAGAGCACATCAGTAGGGCAAGCATATTGGCTGGATGACTACTGGAGATCCTGGTCAGTCCTCTCTTAAGATGACTGTGCTAACAAGTGTGGAGTTGGTTGTTCATTTGTTTTTATTTGATATCATTGACATTTGTTAATGCCTTGAACTTACAAGTTAATAAATGAGGAAAATTTACTGGGTTACAAACCCAATACAATACCAGTTGAGAAAAAAAACCAATCTAAAATAAATTGTTAGAATAAGTTTCATAAATACACAATTTAAGGCCTTAAAAATTATATTCCAGATGACTTTAGGTATTTAAGAACACTATGTTTAAATACTAATGTCCCGACAGCTAATCTAGAAAATAGTTGCCTAACTTCATGTTGGGTTGAGGAAAAGATTAAGAAATACATGGCTATTTTAAATACAATGTCTGATCCAAATGTTAAAACATGAATTAGACTTCGGAGAACAAATGCCCCAACATCTTCTTACAAGAAGCATGGGGTGTGGGAGTGGGAAAGGTAACTATCATCAGTGGAGCTTTGGTTGAATTTTCAATGAGCAGAACTTTGATTTCACTTACATTACTGTAGGTGTGAACCAGCTCCATTATGTTCACAGTGCTAATTGTTGCAGAGATTAAACTGATTCCTAGAGGAACAAATCTATCTAAAGAAGGTTTAGTTTAATTGCTTCTTCAGGTACTAAAAGCAAATTTGTCATTAGGAGAACTACTGAAGAATAAATCTCTCTAACAGAGGTTGTTGGTGGTTTTAAAATCCCAACTCTAACAAAACCAGATTAAGTCTAGTTAATATGCTAAATTAAAGCAACTACAGATGAAAACAAAAGCTCTAGATCTATCTTACACCTTACATCTCCATACAGGAAAATTCTCAAGATATGAAATATGTCACTCACACTCTAGATATTTTCTTTTTCCTGATGAGAGGAATGCAAGGAAAAAAAAAAAGGTGGGGTAACACTGCACTAATACTGCAAAACTTTTCACTTTTAAAATAAAACAAGTTGTGTAGATCTGCACAGTATCTTCCAGGAATGTACACAGTAGAGCCCATTTACAATCAAGCACGATGCTGAACTATCAAATAGGCCTTACTTTCCCTCATTAGCATGGCTTACCATGAAAACTACCTCTTTATTAGATGACTGAATTCTCTACACACTCCTATAGCACACATCACAGACCTGAAACATTTATCACATTAAGGAACATGACTAGTACCTGTAAGCTTGACATATTATTTAATTGCTGTTCAAAGACTGTTTCCAGCACAGTGGTACATCTTCCAAGCAGAATCTGTTATCACAGTGCCTCCTTTTATTAATTCAAAACAATATTTCTCTCAAAAGAAACTCTTCCAGTTGCACGCGCAACTTTATCACACTGCGAAGGCTGAACTGTTCAAGGCTAGATGCTTCAAAAAAGAAGGGGAGTTATTTTTGAGATCATGAATAAGATCAAATTACCCTTATTAAAATAGAATTTCTTAGCATCACACATGAAGCTCTAGTGCCATTCATACTTGTCAGTAGGATATCAGGTTTAGCAAAGGAGCTAAACTTCTGATTACTTAGCTCTGATGTGAGCAAAACTCACCTGATATGAGTTATATTTTCTTTCTTCTATATTTTCTTTCTTCACCTTAGTTTGCCTACCTCCTCACTGCAAGACTGGCTGAGGCAGTGGTGGGAATTTAGTTTTAAGACTTTGCTAGCCAAATTATCAAGCAATTCAGAGAGCACACTACATTGCCTTGCCCCCTCCTTCATGCCAAGTGGACTGTGTAAGCTCAGGGTGACTGAGCAGTCTGGAGCTGACAGCCCTAGAAGCTGGGCAGGATTTTCTGTGCACCACTTCATCCACAATTCTCTGGCAGCACTGAGGCAGGAGACTGGAACCATCAGTGAGAAAGAATGAGAGAGAGGTGCATGACTGCACAACTGTGGCAGAGCAAAGACTGCATCCCAAGGTATGTCCTCAAGACAGATGAATTAAGGTTACATGTGCAACCCTAGCTCTGGCATTCTCTAGATTTAAAGCAGTGGCCCTCATAAACTCAATGTGTTCTTTTTCCAACTGAATCTTATTTCACAACAATTTCCAAATAACGCAAGGTCTAGAAAGAGCCTTCAGCATGTAATTGCTGAGAAGTCAAGAGATTATTGCCGTTTCAAGGAAACAGAAATGTGTAATAGTTAGCGGGTTTCATTGTGTTACTAAGCATGAATTCATTATTTTTGAATAGCACATTAATGCTTTACTTCAAAAATAGGAAAAAGCACATACAAAATTCTCTGTATTTACCCTAAAAAAACAACTATTAGTACTGCCCTCCATGTCATCTCCACTATATTCAAAGAAAGGCTAGCAAGAACATCAATAACAGACATTCACGCCAAAAGAAAAAAACAAAGTAATGAGTACTTGCAAATATAGTACCATTAAAACCAAGCACTAAATGCTAGTGTTAGTTAACACATTAATATACACTAGCAAATTAGGGCTATTCATACAGGCACATTTTTTCCTTCAGTAATATTGTCAATGCTCATCCTACTTCCGATCAATTGTCACTTGCAGTTTAATCAGAAACAAAAAATATTCCATCCTGTAAAACATTTGCACACATAAAACTAAGAGTACAAAAGCTGAGATGGAAGTTTATGAATGAATACAGATTAGGGGAAAAAAGATGACAGCAATCAAACACAACTGATTGTCTGCAGAAAGTGAAGTACCCAATTTGTAACCGAATTTTCATAGCAAGTATTTGCTCCACTAGCACCCATTCAGGCTGTCAGCCTTCTGTGTTCAGTGCAGGTGGTCCTGCAGTCTCCCTGGTGCGCATTAACTGCACATCCTTGTCAGCCATGCAAGTGTCACAGCCCCACACTGCCGATGCCTCTGCCGTGAGCAGGCCATACGCCGACTCTGTCATGCCCGTACAGATCCGGTGGAACCATTTCTGACAAGAGGCCTCACACAGGATGGCATCCTGGTCATCATTGACTTCATGGGTACAAATCCCACAAGGGTAGACGGGTTCAGAGGACGAGTGTCCGTGACGACTGGGATGGAGGGGTGTTTTGCTGCTCTTTTCAGAGTTGCATCCTTCAGCAGTACCTCGAGGCTGGCGGGCCTTGCTCTGAGTCCCATTTGAGTGGCCAGCATTGGTGTTCTCAGCACTGCTGGAATGGCTGTTATCCTGATTTACCACGTTGTTTCGAGTAACATTTTTCAGGTCACTGTTACCTTGACTCACAACGTCCTCTGTCCTGTGATGATGCTGATGAGCAGCAGTGTTCTGGCTGGATGCTTTGCTTGCACCTTGACTAAAGTCTTGTTTTTGTGCTGATGATTTTGTCTGGTTGTACGTGTTTGGTGGAGGAACAAAAGAATGGTTTGACTCTAGCTGAGAATTTGGAAAATTTGGATTATTTCCGGGACCAAAGTTAGTTGGCACATCAGGGTGAGGTATCTGACCCGAATGGCCAAAGTTCTCCCCAGGATTTGGTCTGAAATGCTGAGCAGACATATTGACATTTTGATTTATCTGACCACTGCCATAAGGTGGTTGATTCCCAAAACCTGGGTTATCATGTGGACCAAAGCTGAAAGAGTGGGGTCGACTAAAACCCATGCCAACAGGGTTTTGGGGAAGAGGATGTGGTTGGTTTCTGAGGGAGTAAGAACCACCATATGGTGAGGACACTCTGGGCAGCATGTGAGGTGGCATTCTGAAAGTGTTATAGCCTCCAAAGCCAGGATAACCAGGATTACTAAAATATGGATTTCCTGAAGGAAGTGGTTTATAAGACACAGTATTATAGTTGTCATCAAATGGATTTGCAGCTACAAGGTGGTCAGAGCTTGGGTTCGGTGGTGGAGCATATTCAGATGGAGGAGGAAATGACGACCCCTACAAATATTTTAAATACAACACTCAAATTAGTTTTAGTATTTCCCTGCAAGGCAGACCAACCACAAAGGTTCTGGATTGGCAATACAACTGCTGAAAGAACTGTTCAGCTGTTGTGTAAAATTCACCCACTGTACCCTGCCAGGCTGTCTGAAATTTCAGTAGGAGAGGAGCTTGGGCTCCAGATAATGTGGTGATTTATAGTAGCTTCAGTGTTTTTAAAAGTTTGCAGTTGAAAACACTACTTGATATGTGACTTCTATTTCGTAATCTTTTACAAAAGACAAGCAACAATACAGAAGTCCAACTGTCACAAACACATACACAAAATATTTCCAAATGTTGAAGAGCAGATTTGAAGCATTTCCCTAATTTCATTTTGGGTTCCTGTTACTGAATATATATCTCTTAAGACATCTCACTTCCATGAGGATATACAAACCTAATGGCACTATAACCCTAAAAAAAGGCATTTAGAATATAGGAGTCAGCAGACTGATATTTTCTATACTCTGTGGAATATTCTATGCTGTACATTTCTATACCAAACAGAACATTCAGTGATTGTGGACAGTCTGCAAAGCATAGTCAGTAGGTATGAAACATGAGGATTATGCTCTGGTTACAGAGCATAATCAAGTGTTTAATGGAGCCCAGAGTCTGTTTAAATGTCACCAGTGCAGTCATACAATTGAAATTCATTCTAGACTAGCCTGTAGGGAACACCTGCTGGGTTCACCCTCACACTAACTGTGCTCACAGAAAGCACTTCCTCCTAAGTACTAATAAACTAAGACTGAAAATTTATTTTTTAAAAAAATTGCTGTAGTGCAAATTTTAACCTGGTCAGAAGGAACACAAGCTAATAATCTGCATGTCCTCTGGAGTTATTACCATTCCAGAACACAAGGAAACTCCACCAAGAAAGAGGTGTGAAGCCTTGTAAAGTAACTGAATATTTCTCAGAGCAAGTTTCAGCATGACTACTTTAAAACAAAACAGATCCACATCTCAGTGGACTCTGCATAGGCCTAACAGAAAGTGATTGTTTTACCTACATAAATAAAGGTATTCCCACTGGACAGTATCAAATTAACAGATACTCTCACTCAAAGCTGAATGAACACACAAAGGAAAACTCAGTGCTATAGAGACCCAAATTGCTTAAGATATTTTGTATTGAGGCTTTCTTTTCTGGAAAGAAAAACTGCATAGAAATGTCACATTGCAAGGATTCACTGGAAAGCATATCTATCTGACTTAACTTTTGCTAGAAAATCACCTGAGGGGTATGCCAAGAGCTTGGTGAAAGCATTAACAAACTGTACTGATTCATTAGCCCACAAACCTACAGATACAGAAATGAAAGTAAGGTAAGATGTAGTCTCATGGCAACTACTTATGCTGTACAGATTTCTACCAATAGCTACAAAATCATTAAAAAAAAGTCTTCCTCAAAATCAAATCCCTATGAGAAAAATCCAAGTTGTTGCAGTCTCACTGTGCTCCTCCCTTTGTATGTCTTTGGCAACTTCCAGGGATTAAAATAACTTCAGTGCAAACTTCAGGAAGGTTTCAACTTCAAAGTAAAACTGAAATACTTGGTATGTAGCTGCTATTGGTGACAAGAAACTGATATTCTGAACAATGAGAGATACTCATACCCGCAAACAAGATTTGAGTGCACTGTGTACTAAGAGTTCAATAGAAGCAAAGGGAATTTACCTGTGTATTTGCTTTGCGCTTTTTTTTATCAGGGCTTCCAAGCTGAACTCCTGGTCCTCCTAACCCATCCAATCCACTGTCACCACCTACAAGGCATCAATCAGTAAAACAGTACATTAATTTTATTGCAGACTGTATTGTAAGTTTGCCTTTAACTACCATAGCCTCAGATATCTGTTACAAATACTGCATTTGCATTGACTCTGGTGCCTTATGTTGCAAGTGCTAAAGGAGCACACATCTGGAGCTAAGCTAACATCCCTCCTACACCTCTGTCTGCTACCACTTTCATGTCCCATTCATGCTCATTCTTACTGAAATGGACATTTCCATTTATTTTATTTTTATCTGTCCCTTGATTCTTAACATCTCCACATCACCAGTTACAAGTATTTCTTGTTTGCATAAATCATAAAACTTTCAAAAGGACTGCAAAAAGCCATGTCTAAGACTCACCTCTTAACTCATATAGACACAGCATCAGTGTAGCAACATGCAACAGATTGTTACAATCCACCACGAAGGAAAAGAAAAGCAAACAGTAGTAGATCCATGAACAAAAACCATTGACAACTTGCCATGTTGTTTAGACTAATCTCCAGTGCACCAAATCTAAATTTCACTCAATGCAAGACTTGGTCAAACAAACTGAGTAAGGCTATCGTAGCACAAAAAATAAAAAGTAAGGAATGTTTATTTCACTGGTTGCTCAATCAGACTTCACCCTGAGCAGTACCAAGAGATAACTGTACTTCCCCTGGGATTCTCCACCTTTCACAACACTGGGACAAGTTCTCAAATTTGTATAAATTGTGGCTTTTATTTTAAAACCCTAGTTAGAACATAAGTGAAAAATAAATCTAGCAATCTCATTATTATCCCAGCCAGTCTGTCTTCACAGGCTCAAGTGAAATTGCCACAATATGGGAATGCAAAGAAAACCCTGAGCTAAAGTATGAGAAGCATTTTCAGGTATCATAGCAACACATGTTAAAGTACTAACATCATTACTTTTTTTCCCAGGCCCATTAGGATAATAGCTTATTTGCTCTTTTATATTAATATATAGTAACAGCACAGAAGTATGCAGGCAATCCAACCTAAAAATTTTACTGTTGTTTGTTTAAAATTGATATTCAGAACACAAGTCAAACTTTATCAAGATGCAAGCATCCAGCTGAACACACAGGTCTTCATTACCAAAGACAACCTGGAGATAACTGTGAATTATCAACAGTATTATGCAAAGCAGCACAAGGTATGACATTACACTGCTCTGTTAGACAAGTGTTCCCAGCAGACAGGTAAACCAGCTTTAGGAATATTCAGCAAGGTAACAAAATCTCTTCTCACAGGGAAGCAGCAGTCCTCGTGTACACAGACCAAAATATCCAAGTTATTTGAAACACTTCTGATCCAAGGAGGCCTGACAAATTTTCACTCCTAGCACATCCTCCATGCCTTTTTTTTTTTGAGGTTTCAGGGAATTTACCAGTCCTACTTCAAGTAAGAATCCAGTTCTGCCTCTGCTTTAATAAGTTCCTTTTGGCTCTATCTGTCACTGTTAAAGTTTGATTTTCTTTTTCATTACACATAAAGGAAGATACATGGATATCCCAGATCAACACCTATCAAATTTTAAGTCTGATTTCAAAGATGTCACAATCATGTGATGTCACATGATGTCACAATCAAGTTCTCAAAATAAACTCATGCGCATAATGTAGTCTAAGATACAATCAGAGAAACTAGGGATTATTCTTTAAAAAGAGACCTTTTTGTTCTTGATTTATAATATAAACTCCTGCATATACTTAGTGTGCTATGAAGCATTACCATTACACTACCTGTAGATACTAAATGGCTAAAGCATGAGGTTTGACATGAAGAATGATGGCAAATTTCCCCTAAATTCAACTCTATAAATCAACTTCTTTATAATCTATTTTCTCAAAACTGTTCCTGTCAGCTTCTTCTATCAGCTTCTTCTCCAGCATTTCTATCAGTTTATACTAAATTTAGTGTAAGATTGCACTGTGAACACTAATCCTCACAACTGCATAAATTACACTCCTTTTCACGTCCCTGCACTCTTAAAAAATAATTGACGTTAACCACTGATAGCAAAATATTCCAAATATCCAGATTTCTTTTAATAAATTCAACAACTAGCAGCAGAGACATCAGTAAATTTGTGATCAAGTAGAATACTTAGGGGTCATACACAAGTGTTGGTTTACAGTAGCTGAAGTTAAAACTTTATAAAACTACATATAAATTCCCTCTCTGGGACATCATTCTTCAAAAGCACAAGCATATGAACATTAGAATTCCAGTGACAAGTTCCATCAATTTCTACCTAAATTACTTTCATCAGTGAAGCCATTCACATGCCACAGTTTATAGAAGGGAGTCCTGTGTCTGGAAAGGCAAAAAGCTTTTGTATTTTCAGTTCTCACTGTGTGAGGCCAATGATTTAATTCAGCCCCAAGAATTTATATTTTCCCTGTGGGTTTTAAAATGATTTAATTTATACATGAAAGGAAACAGAATGTTAGTCCTAGCATACCTCCAAAAAAGAGTGAATAAGGCTCATTTTCATGAAGCCAAAATAAACTTTCCACAAAGTCACTTTTGGTACCTACCACACAGACTTTCATTAAGGGAAGACCAAACATTTTGGAATGCTGTACTGATGAAAAATTATTCATTGTCTGAGACTAATTTTTTGGGCAAAAATACAATCCTTTTGACTGGGACACCACCTATGTCACGGATCTAAAGATATAAATACATATCTGATAACGATTCCCCTATTAAACTACAGATAAAATTAATTTCAGCCATTCACACTTGGACAAAGGAGAAGAGATAAGCCTTATATTCTCTCTTACTTTGTACACACCTAAGATGGACATTTTCAGTGTTAGGACAATTGCAAGTTGTAGTTTGCTTTACACATAGGGGATTTTGGCTTTGCATGTAATTTATGCCACACTTAACATACTGCAAATACAGTATGGAATATTTTCATATTCACTGACAAATCTCAGTCTAGGTTTTTAGAGGATGGATGCCAGAGTCTTTTGAAACAGTACTTTATCTCAGTAAGAACATTTTCCCAAGAAACATAAATAGCTGAATAAACTTTTCATTAGAGACAGAAAACTAAAAATTTCAACCTAATTTCAACCAAATTTGGTGAGCCTGTTCTGTGGCCCTGAGACTGTAAACAGTTTTGATACTAGGCTGCAATCGGGTGGAACTTGGTGGGTAACTCTGGCATGTGAAACCATATATGCTTAAATATTTGCAGAATCAGGGCTTGAGAGTGGAGGACTCTAATGAATCCCAGTCTCCTTTGTAGCACTGCTGTTTGTCTTCATTCTCTCATTCTCAAGCTTGCAATCCAGCTGCTACTATAGCAGTTTTAGAAAAGCAAACTGTAAATCAATGACAATATGCACCGTGGAATCCACACCTTTTCCCACTTATCCAACCAGGAAAAAAAGCTTAAAACATCAAGAACAATAGAATTCCAGGGGCAAAACAGGAGGCAAGAAAACAAGAAGCACCAAATTGTAAATTTTATAATTTTGCCATGATTTTCACCCAACTCGGTCACCCATCCTGCTGTCTTTGATTATTTCATTCAGAGAGCCATTTCTGTGTCTAAGGACTAAAGGACACAACTATCACTACGCAGGCTGATGTGCCACTGCCATTAAAGTCAGCTGCACTGCCGAAGTCAGAGGAGACCCTGCATTTCTGCCCTTCTCCCTACTGCTTTGAAAGAAACGCATACCTCAACCCTCACCAGAGCCATACGCCAGTGCTATTAGTAAAGAATAATATTTCGGCTTTTTTCATTTCCCGAAAAAGGAGAAGAAAAGCCCCAACTAGACTCAAGCACAGGAGCCAGGACTGGGGGCAGAGGAGCGGACACTCAAGTGTAATTTATGGGCTCTGCATCAGCACGAACTCGGACATGTGGCAGTGCCGCCGTATTCCCTTGCACCAGCAGTATGCTCGCTGCATACTAATGCGCTGCACATCCCCAGACACACAAGAGCCAGGACCGCACACCGCCCTCCCCCGCGGGGCACACCTGCGCGCACCGCGAGCCCCGGCGCTGCTTTTCAAGGCCCGCAGGCTGCGGGAGCCCGCGGGGCCCGGCCGGGCCCCACCACCAAACTTCGAGCGGCCCCCGCACCGCCGGCGCGGTGCGCGCATCCCGCGGCTCCGCCGCCGCTCCGCACGGGAGCCAGGCCCCAGCGGCGGCCGCCCCCGGGCCCGGCCCAGCCCTCGCCGTACCTCGGGATCTCTTCAGCGCGATGGGGTCCTTCTCCTGTTCCGCTGACATTACAGACAGCAGCGCATGGCTCCCAGGGCGGCAAGAATCGGGGCTCTTTGATGCTGCTGCCGCCGCCGCC